ATGGAATCAAACTGTGAACAAAGATGGACGATGCGTCTTGAGCAGGGCCGTGGATAACTGAGAAGAACCTTGTGAGTAAAATAATTAAATGAATTAAACTAAACAGCTGCTAATCTTAACGTTAGCCATGTAGCGATAGCAAAAACCTACGTAAGGCCACTTTGAGAGAAGTGGAAGAAAATGCTTTGAGACTCGACGTCAGCCCGAGGGCTCCTCCTGGCTGCAGAGCAGGGCAGAGCGTGAAGGGCACTGCGGAGTCTGTGAATAATAAGTCTCTCACGCTGATGAAGCACCTTCAGCCTCCATCTTTAATCCCCGGAGGTAAACACAGCAGCGCTCTAACGCTCGTTAATGTCCATTTTCACACAGTCTCAGTTTATCACACAGCTGCTGATGTCGGCTCGTTCCAGCGACTCCAGCTGATCTGTGAGAACATGATTTCATCATCGTACGAAGAATTAAACTTGAGTTTCAAAGAAGAGAATTGAGGATTTAAGATTCTGTCATCAGTGAATTGTGATAATGACCATTTGCATTGTTTGTAAAAACCCTCTCTGCATATTTAACTGTGGAGAATTACTGGATAGATAAATTAAATATGTCCGCAAAATGCAGGACAAACAGAATTTGTCAAATTCTTTAATTAACATATAAAAATGTCTAAATTAAGATTTCGGGGCTGTTTCCTTTGCATTTTAAAATAACGATCGTTAAGAACGTCACTGACAGTGAACAGGTGGTTTATATACAGCATGAATATAAAGTAGTACCTGTGCATCGTCTTATTATAACAGTTGATCAAACATCGAACCTGCAGTCATGAGTTAAGATCAGTTTGTCAGTTATTTCAGTTTCTTGACATAAATCAAGTTTCTATACAAATGTCCCAAAGATTTAGTTTCTTTGCAACTTGTTTATTATTTCTCTGCTGATGAAGATTCTGTTTAAACGAACGATCCTCGATGTCGTCAAATCTAAACGAGCAGATATTTTTAACCTAATTTAAGTCACTCCCTCGTTTATTCGTTTGAGTCTCATTTGTCCAATGGGATCAGTCCGAGAGTCGACATCATTCAAACCAAGTTTTGTTGATAAGTATTTGAAGACGTTTTAAATGACGGCACATTCATAATTTATTAACGACCGTTATAAATAATCATCCTTTCATCCCGGCTGTTTCATGTTTCAGACCAGGGGGCGGGAACCTTTCTCATCGAGGCCCATTTCCATTTTATTGCGTCCTCCGAGAACTCGCTCCATTATTGAACACACTCCAGTCTGAGTCATTCTGCCGCACCCACGGAGAATCACAATGACTCACTCGTTTTAAAGGTCAACGTGCAGAACACAAGGTATTTCTGACCCTGGTGGCTGGTAAATGAAGTGCAGCCTGTAGACTCTAGGTAGGTCGCATCTGCAAACGTTTTTTTAAAAGAGGTAAAGGCTGAAAAAAGTGAGGAGACAACGCTGGAAGAATTAGTTTTTAAACGCAAGGACTCAACATTTGTAAAAATCTGGTGACGCAGCAGGAAGAGCAGACCTGGCGTTAGCTTAATAGTCGACTTAAATTCTAGCTAACATTAGCTGGTGTTTACAAACTCATTCTAAGCTAGCAAATGCTAGCCAACCTTATTTCTAAACTAACCGGACTCTTAGTTAACGCTAGCTAGTGTGAGCGGACTCGTTCTCTAAGCTACCTTTAGCTAATGTTGCACATGAATGCGTCTCTCAAGGAGCAGAAGAGAATCTGAGGGAAGTTCTCACGATGTTTTTGATGCTGTTGACAGATGAGACGCTGAACAACCATCATGTATAAGAGGAATCACCTTTATTGTCACAAAACCACAACAGGAACGTACAAAAGCAGCAACCGCTTGGTTTGGTTGATTTTTCTCACACGAAGCAGCAACTTTTACTTTCCATACACAAAGTTGCGTGATGTTTTGCACTGTTAAGTTGGTCTTTAGTTATATAACGGACTTTGTAGTAGATTATCATTCTTCTTCACGATTCACAAACAACACTTACCCCACACAGCAAGCATCACTCTCAGTATTTAGTCGATATACAATATCATTTAAATATCTTTCCCAAGAGTTAGAATATGGTTTTTTTCTCTTCTTCGTTATTCTGACAGTAAAAGGACCTTTACAGACCCATTTTCAACATAATACAAAAATCTATGTTACTGTACAATTTTTGTTTACTCTATCGTACGCTCACAGTTATACACAGAATTATTGACAAGAAAATGAGATCTCTGTTGAGCCAGCGTGCAGATTTCCAGGAATGTATACAGTATGCATGCCATTTTGGATTTCTTTTTTCCCACGTTTAAAAAAATCTCACATAAAATCAGTTCTGTAATATAGTATTTGGGTTTATATACATGATTTCAACATCCACAAATGATTCAAACGACCACACATTCATCAAGAAACCATCGATATAGTTTAAACTGTATATTCGGGGTCGTGTACGTACACTATTGGTTATAATAGAGGAGAACAGCAACGAAATGGGGTTCTATCAGTGACGTGATGGTTTTAGAGGAAGGAGGTTATGTGCTTTTTAGAAGTGCGGCGGTAACGACCCACTCTGCCGCCGACTGGTCTCCGTGATCTCTACGACACGACGTGGTCATGGTTCGCAGAAAAAAATAAATCTTCAACGCAGAAAAATAATAATTTACAGAATAAATGTGTTACATGTTTTATGAATCCTCTTCAAGTATAAAAATACAAAAAAAGCTTGATTATATAAAACATAGATGACACTTTTCTTTTTTACATTTGAATAAATCAATCTCTTCAAAACAAAAAAACTAAATGGTCGTTTAATATACATACAATATATCTGTGATGTGATTCAGGTTATACTTTTACTGCGCTTTTCTATTTTGTGCTAGTTTTTAATGCTATTTCTGAGACTACTAATACATTCCTTCAATGTATTAAGTGTGTACTGACACATCCGACTGCGATTTCAACACACACACACACACACTCACAGCGTCAGACTTCCCTCTGGCACAAATGTCAAACAGCACAGAGCCTGTGTGAGGAATCATTTCTCTTGTCATTTTGAATTTGCTCCATGTCACAGTTTTTCTATTTCACCGCCAAAACATCTCCACTCTGTATTTCTGTATTTCCAACATGGCACATCCAGGATGTCTCTGGAACTTTTACTACAAAACACTTTGGAAGAATTTAAATCTGAATATCTACATGTTGGCTGAGTAACAAATGAGCTGTGTCCCAGTTTCATACTCACTGTGTGCAGCATTGTACTGCATCCTACATGTCAGTGAAATGTGTTTTTCCTGATAAAGCAAAATACTCTATGTACATTTCCATTTGGTGCAAAAAGAAGAAGCTATTTCATTTTCCCAATAATCAGATTTTTGGTTCCTGAGATCTTCAAAGTGTCTCGGCTCTAGAATTAGTTTTAAAAAGCGAACTCCACATATTTCACAGATAAAGATCAGTTTACTACAAATTAGTTCAGCGCGGTGACGTCCCGTCCAATCACAGAGTCTGACTCTCATGATGATGTTGTGCCGTGTTCTGGCCTCTGACGCCTCCTCAGATTTACGGATCTGTTACTCAAACAGTCGACCTTGGGAAATATTTCATCCTCTCATTAGCACATGAAGCAAACTACCAATCCAACACAACTCAAGCTGCATTCTGGGAAATGTAACATCCATGTGTTGGTTGGGGAGCGTGAATAAAAATCCGGATTTCTCTGTCGCTCCAGGTTTGACCATCTTTGACAATATAAAAATATAAATAAAATATTTAGCAATGTTGATTCTTACATGACAATTTCTCAAATGAACTCATCTTTCAGTATCATTACTTCCTCCATGTTTCCATTGGTCGAAACAAAACAGAAACCAAAGTGAATCCATACGTTGTGTGGAACTGGGACACAGATATCGTGTCAGTTTATTAAATATGAAAATGTGAGCAATGAATTTATAAAACGTGAAGTTAAATGTGTTTTAAATGAATTAGATCTAAAGTGTGACGAGGCAAACATCATTTCAACCAGAACTATTGATGTGTTGTGACTTCAGGTTCGCTGCTCTGACAATCTGTTGATCTCTAACACACAGAGTCAGATAAATTCTTTTAAATGACAAAACCTCACGCCTCCAAGGTCTGAACTAGACGTCCAAATGATCCGAGGACTCACTCCTCACGTAATAAGTCCTGCTGAGACCTGAGAGGCAGACAGAGGATGAGGGAGGCAAAGCTGGAGAGAGCGACAGAGACAGAGAGAGAGCGACAGAGACAGAGAGAGCAACAGAGACAGAAAGAGAGAGAGACACACAGAGGAAGACCGGCGCCAAAATGATGTGAGAAAAAAGCAGCGAAGGGAAACTGATGACAGGCAGCGTTTCTGCAGCTGAAGCTCAGCACTGCACCGAAAAAGCAAGCAGAGAGCAGAGATTTAAAAAAAAAAGTCAAAAAACAAGAAAACATATTGAATGGAACGAGAAGCAGTGACAGGGAGGGGGAAAAGAAAAAAAGACAAAAATCAAAATCTACAAACAGACAAATGTATTTCAAGTTTCTGTTAAATCTTCCATCTGAAACGCTCCGAGGTTTTCCTGTGTTCTATGAGTCACTGAAGCTGAGAACTGAGCTTCCATCCCCTGATCGGCCACCGGGGACGTCAGGGTTTGGTGCATTGGTGTAACGGACCTTGTGTCCGCGAGGAGACGAGAGCGTTCGTCTGTTACTGCAGAGAGGACGCCGTGAGACGGAAAATCTGTCCTTACTCAGCTCCTCTCCGAGTGATGCAAGGAGGAGTGTGAGGGTGCTGTAAAGTGAGGGAGGAGGAAACAGAGGGAGAGGAAGGATACTGTCAAGTGAGGGAGGAGGAAACAGAGAGAGGGAGGAGGAAACACAGAGAGGAAGGATAGACAGCGAGAAAAGGAGGAGGAAATGAACAAGGGGGAGATGAGGAGAGTAGACAAGACAAGAGGAGATAAGAAAAAGGGATGGAAAGAGGGATAAGGAGAGGAAAACAAGGAAAAGACAAATGTGGAGGTAGAAAAGGAAACAGAGAAGAGGATTTGAGAAGGAAGGAAGGAAGGAAGGGAGGGAGGGAGGGAGGGAGGGAGGGAGGGAGGGAGGAGGAGTGTTTATCTTTCTCTTTCTCCTGAATGTCTGACCTGATCTTTCTTTCTCTCAGCGGCTCCTCGATGCTTCAGACAAATAAACCAAGAGGAGAAACAACAACAGGCTGAACGTCCCCGGAGTCGTTGATTTAATCTATAAACCGAGTTTGAGATGAAATACGTCTTTTTTTCTTTCTTTCTTGTTTCATCCACTGGCGTCTGGATAACAAATAATAAGAACACACACACACACACACACACCATGTTGTACTCTACAGAGGTTTCCATTCTGTGTGCAACATTAAGAGTTTGGTTTTATCTCTGCAGATTAAAATGACAAACATACTAAAAAGTTGTTTTCATATCGAGTCACATTAAAAAAAAAGTTTGATGACATCATCACTTCTGAATACGCAAGAGTGAAAATTATGTCTTAATAAAATTTAAAAAAAGAACTTTATTAGACCGTTTGCTTTCAGGCTGTTAAAACGATGAATTATTAAAAAAGCAATAAAAGGAAATGAGCTGCAAAAAAGAGTGAAAGGATCCTCAGACCAGAACAGGACACGTCGGGCTCTGAATACTAATCCTCATCGTCTCTGTGGGGCGAAGGACGCCGCTCGGCCAGATGGCGAGGGGACGTCCGCCATGTTAGCAACAAGCTAACTGCTGTAGCGGCTCAGGGGAGCTGTGGTCAAGGACGCGGTCGCCTCTGATACGTTAAGTTTCTGAAGATGTGAGCGTCTGTGAGGATGAAAATAAACTCTTAATTAACCGATGGATGAATTAAAATAAAATCCTGACACCGCTCTGAACTCAGAAACAGACGACGACGAGGTGGCGACTTATCAGTTTTCTCTTTCAGAGGATTTTCTGAAAGCTCTCTCTTTCTGGCGGAGGCCGGTGAAGCCTCTCAGCAGGTCAGGAGCCGCTTGAAGCGTCTGCAGGAGCAGATAAGACGAGAGGAGCTTCACGTCTGACTCACCTCAAGCTGCTTTAAGAGCTTCTGTGTGTCGGGACACAAACGTCCGAGTCAGTTGCTCTGGAGGTTTTCTGGAACTTTTACTGCGGCGCCCAAGTTAAATGTCTGGAAAGCGTCACAGCGACGTGATTTCTCTAACCGGAAGAAAACAAATGATCTAAATCTGTTTCTGTTTTATCGTATTTGTTAAAAGCCTCTTCACGTCAGAGACGACTGTCAGAAGTTAGCGTCACTGAAAAGTCGCAGATCTGCAAGTGAATTTAAATGTGGTTTCGTAAGGAGACACTTTGGTCTTGGCGGACGTATGTGCAGCCCTTCTAGTCTCCGTGAACATTCTGGATTTCCTTCGCTCTCGCTGCCTCAGTCGTCTCTTTTCTTCCTCCTGTTCATTTTCTTCTGAACTTAAAAAGCAGCTTCTCTCAGGTAACCGTGCTTCGCTCTCATCGTCTTGCATAATGAGTTCGAGCTGTTAAAAGGCAGCTCTGAGTAAACCAACGTAACGACCGGACCTTTCAGGCTGTTCACTTGCAGCCACGCCAACGTGCAGCCGCTGAACGAGCCGCAGCGCCGCCGGCTCACCTTGAGATTTAAAGAGTAGGTCACACAAAAAGAGCAGCATGTGGCAATTATCGGAAGAACAGAGAGAGAGAGAGAGAGAGAGATGATGAGGGGGAGGAATCAGAGAGAAAACATGACGGGAACGTGGTCAAACACTGAATCATCACTTTGACCTTGAGATATGAATCTTTTCCGTGGCATCGCTGGAGATAATGTCGCAGTAAATGGAGGCGGAGGACGTCTCTGAATGGATCTGACTGTGAGAGTGAAGCTCGATTCATCAGTCACAAGCACCAAAATCCTTCCTCTGGAAATCAAAACAACGACAAACTCACACCACAAAAAAACTTGATCTCTGAGCAAGCGAGGTGAGATCCAGGAACTCAAAGGTCAGAACGCACATGGAGAACTGGTAAGAATCAAGGGTTCTGCAGACTGTTCCCCTCTGGTGTCTGTGTAACCTCACATCGTCTTCTCCTCCTCAGGAGTCGCAGGAGGAAAACGTTCAGCAGAAGAGAGGCGGACCTCAGAGGGTTTAGAAGTGGAATACCTGCTGCTGGCCCTGGACTTTGGGGAAATCCTCTTTCTGCTTGCGGGTCTTGGGTCTTTCCAGGCTGCCCTGTTGGAGGTGTTTGAGTCTGGCTGCGACGGTGAAGCCCTTCGTCGGCCCCGGGGAGTTACTGCTGTTCTGTGGGAGCCAGGAGACGAGAGGGGCGATCAAAAGTCATTTCAATCACTGGTGTCCACAAACATTTGGCCACACGAGGTAACTGCTTTGTTTTACTTTGAAAATAAAACGCTCTGCTGCGGGAAACGTAGTTTTAACGACCAACGTTACAAAGACACAGTTTTATTCAAATGTTAATCACTGACCCTTGAGTCAATACAAGCAGGATCTGGATTTAAATCTCCTGCAGGAGGAGAATAGATTCTTACAGAGCAACGATTCTGTCTCCCTCCCCCGTCACTGGATTCTAACAGCGACCTGCGAACACGAGTCGTCTCCACTCGGCTGAACGTGTCACCGGAGCGGTCAGGAAGTGCACGAGACAAAAAAACTAAACATATCACCGGCTTCAGCCGCGCTGACTCACCGCACATCACGTCAGCGGTTCGAGGGTTCGAACGTTTACACAGATGTTGGATTTCATCTCAGAGAAAAGCTTCACAGATAAAAACATCATCGTGCACATAGAGGAAGCCGAGGAGGAGGTCGAGGGAGGAAGTGTTAAAAAGGTTAGAAAGAGAAGTTCAGTCCAACGTCTGCAGCTGCAAACACAATCAATCATCTAATCTAACGTAACGTGTGAGAAGGTTTTTAAAAGTCTCATCAGTAGATTTTAGAGAACTGGTGACGTCTTGTCCAAAAATATGTCAAGCAACACTTTGCAATGTTACCTGAGCAACAGCGCCCTCTGCAGCCACTCGTGGTGAATCGTTATTTGGTCATTTATGCTACGAATATAGCTACGTCCATTTCAGACGTCCACATACAGTACGTCCACCTGTGGTTGTTGAGCAACTCATCCACTAGAGGGCAGCACAGAGTCCAGATTTCTTCCCCGTATCTTAGAATCGTCTCGCTGGAGCTACTGGCAACACTTAATGAAATCACGATAAACTTCTCTCTGTGATTAAACTAGTTTTTACAGCTCGTTCAGACTTCAGTTCCACTTCCTGCCTCGGTGGAGATGATGACTCGTCGGGTTTTAGTCGTTAAAAAGGTTCGAGTGAAGCAGGAGGAATAAAAGCAGATAAAGGAGTTGAAGTAGAAGCACAGTCCACAGGCTGGAGGTTTTCATTTTACCTTTCTGGGCCTGGAGGTGCAGGGAGGAGCGGCGGCGGCGATGCTGCGCCGTTTAAAACAATCTTTTACAGGCGTTCTCTCAAATATCTTTGCTCCGTGGTGGTCGTATGAAAGATGGTGGCAGAGACATGTGAACACACTGACACGACACGTGACAACAAAACTGAAATCAGCTGCAAACACCTGGTTCATCCAAAAACCGTCTCACCTCCAGCTCCGCTATGATCCTCTCCTCGTCGTCCTCGTCCTGAATCGCAGACGCTGCGATCACAGGCGGCGTCGACGCAGGGCGGGGGGTGTCCGACGGGGTCCGCCTCAGCTTCACCAGAGTTTTGGGGATGTCGCCATCGTCCTCCATCTTAAACGGTCAAAATGAAAGAATTCTAAAAGCAGAGTTTAAACTCACTAAAATAAATAAAGAATGAACAGAGAGCAGGTGTTCAGAGACTCTTCAGACTCAGACGTGAACATTTCACAGCTCTCAGACTGAACTGTGTGAATGAAGCGAGCAAAAAGAAAGTACTTGACACTGCTCAATGAAACTGGGTCGAGGTCTCCGAGGAAGGTTTCCAGCACCTTATTAAAGTGAAGAATTCCGTCTGTTCAAGATTCACGAGTGAACTCGACTTTAAAGCAGCGGCAGCAGCTTGTTGTTACCTGGGAACCAGTCGCTGCGAGTCTCACACCACCGAACATCAGGTTTGTTAATAAGTGGGTCAGACTCCGTCTCGTTAAATGAAACAACTCAACCTGCGTCACGGCTTCTCTGTTTGAGTCAGATTTAAAATCTCAGACGGCGTCGGCTCTAAAATTAAGAAGAAACGCATAAAATAAAAATAATAAATAATAAAAGAAGTTCGATGCAACGCGTCTTTTTCAAAAAAGAAAATCCATCTCTGCAGAAAAGAACAAGTTGATCCTTTGAAACGATCACACGGTTTCAACCGAACTTAAAAAACCTCTCACCTTCAGGTTCTTGGTCGTCACGACGACCTCTCCGGTGCGGTTGGTGGTGAGGCCGTGTGCTGAGGGGAAGCTTCGTCGTGGCGGAGGCGGTGGCGGAGACTTGGAGGGTTTCTCTGTTCGGTACCGAGTCACGTTGAGGTCGACTGCGGACGGAAGATAAAACTTCAGAAACGAACTTCTACTGGAGCGTCAAAAAAACTAAAGCACAAACCGTCCTCTCACCACAACCTCATGAGTTAAAAGCAGAAAGTGACTCGTGGATTTTTACAGGTTGATCGTACGAAGGAGTAAAAAAGAAACGATACTGAAATATGAGACGATAAATGTAAAGTAACCAGGAATATTAATTATTTATAGAAATAAAATAAAAACACACTCTGACTCACCCGACCCTCGGTGTGAACCGCCCCCCTCCATACTGTTCAGCTTCTGGGCGGCCAGCTGCACTTTGCCAGGCTGCTGGTCGCCGCCGGGTGTCGTGGTGGCGGTGGCCGTGGCGCCGGTGTTAGCGGCTGCAGCTGAAGTAGCTGTGGTGGGTGTAATTGGGATGGTGATCTGGGGCTTGGGGGGCACTGCCGGCTTGTTGATGTGCTTGGCAGCGAAGTCGAGGTCGGGGATGGCCTTCATCAGCTCGGCCTGCGTCTCCTCCAGCAAGCGATTGATGTCCTGGGCGCTGAACTGGGTCAAGCTGGCACGTTTCTCCTCCCAGTCCCGCTCTGCCGCCTGAAACACACAGACGATGAGATCGTCCTCACAGGAAATGTAATTACCTGATGTCACGGAACACGTAGAGGTGTAATCACCATCTGGCTAAAACAGACATCTTTAACGTGCTGAATGAGGATTATACACAACAGCCTGATCCATAATCAGCAGCTGATTACCAGTCGGACTTCAGCTGACACCGACTTGTCCGGAGGACGCCGAGTCGGCAGCTCGTCGAGGACTCGGTTTCTGAAGGTCATGGAGGGCTGGACGTCCTGCTCCAGGCCCGAGGCGTCTCCGTCGGACGCCGGCATCCAGTTGGCCAGGCCGGAGCTGGTGCTGAGGTCGCTGAGCGAGGGACTGTTCAGGATGTCCAGGTCCGAGCCGCGGCTCACGTCCTCCGCTCGCTTGGTCTGGGCGGAGAGGTCGTCGGCGCTCTTCCACACGCCCTCGGTGACTTGTCTGAACATATAGGAGGGATACAAAACACTACAATACACACAGGACACCATGAAGGTCCTACACCGTGTTAGAACAACAACCTGGAAACTCAGAGAAACACAACAAGCAACAGGATGAACAGTGAGTCTGTCAGATTCAGTTTATAATTCCAGCTCGTCATTCGTCACCGATTCACTCGAAGACCAAGACGATTGAGTCGGAACGATTTGTGTTTGACTGAAGATTTGAAACGGTTCATTTCATCGATCACGACGGAAACGTTGAGAGACTGAGGAGCAGCTGATTTCTTCGTCAAATGAAGAATCAAAGAAACAGAAACTCACGTGTTTGTATCAGCGGCAGAAAAAAATTTACATTTGAAACTGAGAAGTGACTCAACAACACACACACACTAACACACACACGCACACACGCACACACACACAGTAAACCTGCCTCTGATGTTTCAGACAGAAACTCTTCCTTCAGCTCTGACAGGTAATTTGCTCAGCGTCTGATGCTTTGCTCACTTTTTATCAGTCGAACAAAACCAGGAGGAGAAAAATCTGAATTTCTGCTTTTAATCTCTAAAGCGTTCGTGTGGAAACTCATCCCTGAGAATTCTTTGTAGAATCTGGAGTAAAACCAGGATTTCAGCAGCTCTCAGAACCTTTTCAAACATTCACGATGAAAGTTTGAGATTAAACGACAGAACCGTCTTTAAATTCAGACGTGAGGAGCGACGAGAATCTTCCAGAGTCTGAAACATCAAACACGACCTCGAGCAAATGTTGTTGCCTAACATTTAGATTTGGAATATTATTCATTTGTTATTAACAAAGTCGACCCTCAACTTTGTTTTTAACTTTATTTATCTACTTGTTTTTCTTTTCTTTTCATGAATCGTTCCTCAGCTTCCTTAAATCTGACCTGATGTTATGGCAGAAAATCGAATGTCCGATTTCCTGAATCAATTATTTTTGTACTTCATGGATTTTTTATTTCTCTTGTTTTTTCTTTATTCTGATATTATGACTTGTTTTTCATTAAATTACAACTTTATTCTTGTCATTTTCTTTTTTTATCAGAATTAAACT